TTTGCACAAATCACGATGAATTTTAGTTTGCTTCCAGTTTGGACAAGAACTTTATTGTAGGTATAGCATTTTATTTTTTTCTCCCTTTCTAGAGTTTGTAATTGCCTTTCCGTTTTTTGTGTTGATAAAGGATAATGTGCTTTCATCTTATTATCAGATTTATCAAGCTTCTGTTTTAAAATAAAATTTTCTGTTTAATTTTTTGAGTATGTAATACATTCCCAAGCATCAACTAGCAGGAATTATAAGATGATATCCTTTCATCTCATATCTATATTTGCTCAGCTCAGTTCCTACAATGAGTGATTCCTGGTATTGGTTTCTTAATAATCCTTTCACCAAATTTCTAAGCATATGCAAGCCAGGACACATAACTTTTTTTCTTCTCACCTTTATATACAAGTGGTAGCAAAAATATTCTTCTACATTTTGCTTTTTCACTTAATAATATATCTTAGTGATCCTTTTGTGTGAATTTGTAAAGAGTTTTTTCATGCATTTTGCAACTGCACAGTTTTCCATTGTATAAATAACCGTAGTTTTAAATCTGTATTTTATCCATAGACTGTCTAATCTTTGGCTATTTCCAACACCAACGCAATGAATAAAACCTTTCTGTTGGTTATTTTGTATGTGCCTAAGTATAGGCATACCTCATTTCACTGCACTTTGATTTATTGTGCTTTGCAGATATTGGCATTTTTCACAAACTGAAGGTTTGTAGCAACCTTATGTGGAGCGAATTTATTGGCATCATTTTTTCCAACGGCATGTGCTCACTTTGTGTGTCTGTGTCACATTTTGGTAATTCTAGCAATATTTAAAACGTTTTCATTATTATATCTGTTATGGTGATCTGTGACCAGTGATCTTTGATGTTACCACTGTAATTGTTTTCAGGCACTATGAATCACTGTGCCCGTGTAAGACAGCAAGCTTGATAAATGTGTTTGTTCTGACTGCTCTACTGACCTGCTATTCCCTCATCTCTCCCCTGTCCTTGGGCCTCCCTATTTCCTGAGACAAAACAATACAGAAATGAGGCCAGTTATAACCTTACAATGGCCTCTAAGTGCTCGAGTGAAAGGAAGAGTTTCCCATCTCTCACTTCAAATCAAAAGCTAGCAATTACTAAGCTTAATGAGGAAGACATATTGCAAGCTGAGAAAGACTGAAAGCAAGTCCTCTTGCACCCAACAGCTAAGTTGTGAATGCAATAGAAACGTTATTGAAGGAAATTAAAAGTACTGCTCCAGTGAATGCACAGTAAGAAAACAAAACAGCCTTATTGCTGAAATGGAGAAAATTTGAGAAGTCTGGATAGAGGATCACACCAACCACAATATTCCCTTAAACCAAAGCCTAGTCCAGAGGAGACCCTAACTCTCTTCAATTCTGTGAAGGCTGAGAGAGGTAAGGGAGCTGCAGAAGAAAAGTTGGAAGATAGCAGAAGTTGTTCATGAGGTTTAAGGAAAGAAGCCAACTCCATAACATAAAAGTACAAGAAGCAGCAGCAAGTGCTGATGATGTTAAAGCTGCAGCAAGTTATCCAGAAGATTTGGTTAAGATAATGGGTGGTGGTGGCTACACTAAACAATAGATTTTCAATGTAGAGAAAAAAGTTTTCTATGGGAAGAAGATGCCAACTAGGACTTTTGTAGCTAGAGAGGAGAGAAGTCAATGCCTAGCTTCAAAGGACAGATCGACTCTCTTGTTAGGGGCTGATGCAGTTGGTAACTTTCAGTTGAAGCCTATGGTCATTTACCATTTCAAAAATTCTAGAGACCTTAAGAATTATGCTGAATATACTCTGCCTGCACTCCATAAATGGAACAATAAAGCCTAGAAAATAGCACATCTGTTTACAGCATGGTTTACTAAATATTTTAAGCCCACTGTTGAGACCTACTGCTCAGAAAAATTCCTTTCAAAATACTACTGCTCTGCCAGGTGTGGTGGCTCACACCTGTAATCCCAGCACTTTGGTGAGGCCAGGATGAGGAGATCCCTTGAGCCCAGGAGTTTGAGACTAACCTGGGCAACATGATGAAATACATCTGTACAAAAAATATGAAAATTGGCTTGGTGTGGGGGTGTGCACCTGTAGTCCCAGTTCCTTGACGGGCTGAGATGGGAGAATTGCTTGAGTCCAGGAGGTGGAAGTTGCACTGAGCTGAGATTGTACCATAGCACTCCATCTTGGGCAACAAAGCTAGACTCCATTTGAGGGGGAAAAAGTACTGCTCATTGACAATGCACCTCGTCACCTCAGAGCTCTGACGGAGATGTACAGGAGATTAATACTGTTTTCATGCCTGTTAGCACAACATCTATTCTACATTCTGGATCAAGGAGTAATTTTGACTTTCAAGACTTAATTTAAGAAATACGTGTTCTAAGGCTATAGCTGCCATAGAGAATGATTCCTTTGATGGAGGTGGGCAAAGTAAATTGAAAATCTTCAGGGAGGGATTCACCATTCTAGATGGTATTAAGAATATTCACGGGCTGGGCACGGTGGCTCAAGCCTGTAATCCCAGCACTTTGGGAGGCTGAGGCAGGTGGATCATGAGGTCAAGAGATCAAGATCATCCTGGTCAACATGGTGAAACCCCGTTTCTACTAAAAATACAAAAAATTAGCTGGGCATGGTGATGCGTGCCTGTAATCCCAGCTACTCAGGAGGCTGAGGCAGGAGAATTGCCTGAACCCAGGAGGCAGAAGTTGCAGTGAGCCAAGATCGCGCCATTGCACTCCAGCCTGGGTAACAAGAGCCAAACTCTGTCTCAAAAAAAAAAAATTCATGATTTGTGGGAGGAGGTTAAAATACCAACATGAATAGTAATTTGGAAGATGTTGATTCCAGTCCTCATGGATGGGTTTGAGGAGTTCAAGACTTTAGTATAAGTAACTGCAGATGTGGTAGAGCTAGCAAGGGAACTAGAATTAGAAATGGAGCCTGAAAGGCTGAGCACGGTGGCTCTGCCTGTAATCCCAGCACTTTGGGAGGCCAAGGCAGGTGAATCACGAGGTCAGGAGTTTGAGACCAGCCTGGCCAAGTTGGTGAAACCCGTCTCTACTAAAAATACAAAAATTAGCTGGGTGTGGTGGTGTATGCCTGTAGTCCCAGCTACTCAGGAGGCTGAGGCAGAATAATTGCGGAGGTTGCCGTGAACCAAGATCATGCCACTGCACTCCAGCCTGGGTGACATAGTGAGACACTGTCCCAAAAAAACAAAAAACAAAAAACAAACAAAAGAAATGGAGCCTGAAAATCTGACTGAATTGCTACAATATCATGATAAAACTTGAATGAATGTGGAGTTGCTTCTTTATTATGAATGAGCAAAGAAAGTAGTTTCTTAAAATGGGATCTACTCCTGGTGAAGATGCTGTGAACATTGTTGAAATGACATTAAAGGATTTAGAATATTATATAAACTTAGTTGATAAAACGGTGGTAGGATTTGAGAGGATTTGAAGTTCTCTGGGTTAAACGCTATCAAACAGCATTGCATGCTATAGAGAAATCTTTCATGAAAGAAAGAGTCAATTGAGCATCAAATCTCATTGCCTTATTTTCAGAAATTGCCACAGCTCCCTCAATCTTCAGCAAACTCCATGCACTCTGATCAGTCATCAGCCATCAACATGGAGGCAAGACCCTCCATCAGCAAAAAGATTACAAATTGCCGAATGTTCAGATGATCGTTAGCATTGTTTGGCAAGAAAATATTTAAAAATTAACTATGTACAGGCTGGGTGCGGTGGTTCACACCTGTAATCCCAGCACTTTGGGAGGCTGAGGCGGGTGGATCACGAGGTCAAGAGATCAAGACCATCCTGGTCAACTTGGTGAAGCCTCATCTCTACTAAAGATATAAAAAATTATCTGGGCATGGTGGCACATGCCTGTAATCCCAGGTACTCAGGAGGCTGAGGCAGGAGAATTGCCTGAACCCAGGAGGCGGAGGTTGCGATGAGCTGAAATCGCGCCATTGCACTCCAGCCTGGGTAACAAGAGCGAAACTCCATCTCAAAAAAAAAAAAAAAAATTAACTATGTACATTTTTTAGACATAATGCTATTGCACATTTAGACTATAGTACAGTGCAAACTTACTTTTATTTTTTAAGAGACAGGATCTTGCCCAGTCATCCAGGCTAGAGTATAGTGGTGTAATCATAGCTCACTATTGCCTTGAATTCCAGAACTCAAGCAATGCTTCCACTTCAGTCTCTTGAATAACTATGATTACAGGTATGTGCTACCACGCCCAGCCAAGTTTTAAATATTTGTAGTAATGAGGTCTCATTATGTTGCCCAGGCTGGTCCTGAATTCCTTGCTTCAAGGAATCTTCCCCCATCAGCCTTGCAAAATGCTGGGATCACAGACACGAGCCACTGTGCCTCCCCTAAGCATAACTTTTATATGCAGTTGGAAACAACAACAACAACATGGTTCACTTTATTGCAACATTTGCTTTATTGTGGTATCTGGAACAGAACCCACAGCATCTCTAAGGTATACCTGTATAGGATAAATCCTTAAGATGAATTTCTGGGTAAAAGGTTATACTCACAAGAGGCTGAAAAGGGTTAGGGAGTTGGGGGGGGGATAAGGGAATGAAGAGATAGTGATTAATGGGTCCAAAAATATAATTAGATAGAAGAAATAAGACCTGTTCAATAGATTAGTAGGGTGACTACAGCTGACAATAATCTATTGTATATTTCCAAATAGCTAGAAGAGAATAATTATTTGTTCCTAGCGTAAAGAAAAGATAAATATTTAAGGTGATAGATATCTCAATTTTACCCTGATCGTTGTACATTCTATAAATGTGCAATTAAAATCAAAATAGCATATATACCCTGAAAATATTTATATCTATTATGTATCAATAAACAATTTTAAGATAAAAATGAAACACATTTCACAGAAAAAAAGGCTATATGTGTTTGAATTCTGATAATTATTGCCAATTTGTCTTCTCTAGGGATGACGCCAATTAAAATGCCTAATGGAAATGTATGAAAGAAGGTGGACACAGTGGCTCATGCCTGTAATTCTAGCACTTTGGGAGGCTGAGGCAGGCAGATCACCTGAAGTTGGGAGTTCAAGTGCAGCCTGGCCAGCATGGTGAAACCCCATCTCTACTAAAAATACAAAAATTAGCCAGGCATGATGGCAGGTGCCTGTAATCCTAGCTACTCAGGAGGCTGAGGTGGGAGAATCACTTGAACCGGGGAGGAAGAGGTTGCAGTGAGCTGAGATCATGTCATTGCACTCCAGCCTGGGTGACAGAGCAAAACTCTGCCTAAAGAAAAAAAAAAAGGATAAAGTATGTACTTATTCATAGCAACATTATTACATCATTCTGAAATCTTTTGGATTTTTGCCATTATAACTGAGAAATAATACCTAAATATAGCTTTAGTCTACATTGCTCTTCTTAAGAATAAAGTTGAGGCTTTTATATATGTTTCATGAAGTGTGTATGTATTTTCTTCTGTGAATTCTTCATATCTTTTGTTCAGTTTTTCTGCTGGGGTTTTTATGTGTTTCTGTCTATGTCCAGGACCTATTCTAGGGAGATTATCCCTCTGCTGTCACACAAATTGCAAATATTTTCCTGACTCGTCATTTATCTGTTACTATTTTAATTATTTGATAAGTTAAATTTGGCCTTGGTTGTAGTGCTTTTTTTTTTAACCTTGAAACATTTTTTTTTTTTTTTTTTTTTTTACCGCAGTCAAATTTAACAATCTTTATTTGTGGCCTTTAGAGTTTACGTTTTAATTTAAGTTCTACCCCCATTCCAAGGTCATAAAGAAAATTCTCCACTATTTTCTCTACTACTTTATGATTATTTTATTTTGCACTTAAAGATTTGATCTTTTGGAATTTATTCTAGTATATAGTGTGAAATTTGGATTTAACTACAGTCTGTTCTCATTATTCACAGATTCTGTTCTTGTGAATTCATCTACTTGCTAAAACGTATTTATAACCCTAGAATCTGTACTCAGTATTTTTGCAGTCATTCTTGACACAAGTAGTGGCAAAACATTTGAGTTGTCTGATGTGTGCATGTTCCCAGTTAAGGCTGAACAACTGATGCTCCGCCTTCTGTGGTGCTGTAAACAAATGGGCTTCTTCCAGCCTATTTAGTATGACATCTTCACATTTTTTGTGCTGTTTGTTGGTGCCTAAGTATAGTGCTGAAATGTTATCTAATATTCCCAACTGTCTTACAGACCAAATATGTGTGTAAGATTAGCTTTGTTCAGGCATGCGTTACAGTGCTTTTGGCCATGAGTTCAATTTTAATGAATCAACAATATATATTAACTAAGGTGTCATTAACAGAAACACATAAAACAAGGTTATGGATTAATGAGTTGATAAAAAATGTGACCGGAGGCTTGAAGGAACCTAACCTGGCATTTCCAGTAGCAGCAACGGTTCGGTATTCACTAATGCTTGTTTGCAGCATCTTTATAGAACTACTGCTCATCATGAGAATCAACTGCATATGTTTTTTCAGGATAAATACATAGCTCCTCCAATGCAATCGCTTGAATGGGCAATCTCTTGCCATTGATTTGAGGTATCACTTCAAAATCACCGAAGCGAGAGGATCATTTAAGCCCAGGAATTCAAGACCAGCCTGTGCAACATACTGAGACCTTGTCTCTACAAAAAATTAAAAAATTAGCCAGGTGTGGTGGCCACCTGTAGTCCTAGCTACTTGGGGGGCTAAGGTAGGAGAATCTCTTGAGCCCTGGAGGTTTGAGGCTGCAGTGATGGCGCCACTGCACTCCAGCCTGGGTGACAGAGACCCTGTCTCAAATAATGATAATGATTTTTAAAAGTCCGCCAATCTTAGTTTCCTCCACATTTTTCTTTTTAAGAGTTTTCCTAGATATTTTTGTTTTTTCTTTCACAAAAACTTCAGAATTACCTGGTTTAGTCCTGAAAAACTTAATGTAGAAATAAGCTCAGGGACAACTGACATCCTTGTGATGAGTCTTTCTACTCAGATTGTGGTTTTTCTTGCCACTGAGGCAAGTCATCTTTTGTATCCTTCAGGAGAATTAAAAAGTTCTCTTCACATAGACCTTCAAATTTCTTTCTTTAATAATATCATTACTTCAGCTGCTACTATTTCTCTGAGATTATTCATCTTATCGATTTCTGCAGGGCATCTATGGAGGATGAAAAAACCATGTTCTGAGTCTAGCTGATATATTTAAAGACTATCTTCAAGTGGAAATTTAAGGCGGGAGAAACATAAACCAATTGTTATGTAGAGTAGGAAAATGAATGACATGGGGAGATTAATGAAAATGTAGGCAAGGCTTGGTGTGTCAACCTATTTCTTTCATCTAACACTTCGAGCTTTTTACGTGTCAGGCAGTGTTCTAAGTACTTTACAATTATTCATCTAGTTTTACAACAACCCTATAGGATGGGTATATTATAACTGTCACCTTTACTTTATAAATGAGGAAACTGCGGTTGACAGAGGCTTGAAGTTGCACAGCTGTTTTCTTGAGGGAGCTGGAATTCAGACCCAGCAGATTGGATTCAGGGGCCATGCTCTTAGCCACACGTGTTATACCAAGAAACAGTTAGGACAGGAGTTGAAGAGAGTGCAGCACGTCCTTGAATAATGTCATTTCTTTCAACTCATTTCCTTATAATGCTGATAAGAAAAAAAATTACTCTCTTGCTGGAACCACTGTCTGTGTGGAGTTTGCACATTCCCCATTTCTGTATGGGGTTTCTCTGGGGACTCTGGTTTCCTCCCACATCCCAGAGTTGTGCCTGCTAGGTGATTTGGCATGTCTAAATGGTCCTAGTGTTAGGAATGGGGGGTGTGTGAGTGAGCTCTGTGATGGGATGATGTCCCGTGCAGAGCGGGTTCCTGTCTTCCACCTTAAGCTACTGAGACAGGCTCTGGCCACCTGTGACCCTGAACTGCAATAAATGGGTTGGAAAATGAATGAATAAATGAATACCAATTATTGTCAAATGAATATTCGTCAAGTCTATCCTAGTCATAGAAATACATAACAATAACAATGCAGCACAAAAAAGCTCTGCAAGCCTGCCATGTTTGTGATTGTGATGGGAGGAGGTGTTCTGACAATCTTCGCTTTGGAAGCACTTATTTCTTGATTTAATCATCACCACTATGACCACCATCATTCGCTGATTTACCAAAAATTGGGTAAACAGTTATCTTCCTTGTTTTTATTAATCTTTCTTAATGTATATATAGCTCACACATATTTCAATGTTAGAAGTGTTTGGGTCTTTGTTTAGAAGTTTGGTAATGTTTTGGGAACCACAGATATGCTGTAGGAACTTACCTCTTGTCTATATGTGGTAAAATTCATTTGGTTACATGTTGTTTCACTTGCAGTTTCAAAGAACCAATCGATGATGTTAAGTGAGGACTTACTGTATTAGCGCCCTAAATATTAAAACTTCTATGCATGGAAATTTGGTAACTTGCAGAACAGATCTGAGATGATTGTTTATTGCATAAGTATGATTTTTGGTCTTATTGGTACCGTGGAGACCAGAACTGGGTTGGAATATGGTGACCGAAGAGTCGCCTTTATGTAAGGAGGGAAAGGGCAAGGGCAGCAGACTACATGGCCTTGAGGAGACTGAAGGATGCGTCCTGACCTAGCTGACAGAAAGGACAGAGATGACACACACAGCCATGATGGGAGGTTATCTCTTTGGATCCTTTCCCAAAACCTCAGACCTCTGCCAAGAGCAGAATGATTGACAAGCAGCTCTGTAAATGATTTCACCTCTAGGAACCCTCAGAAGCAACCCGAAGAAATTCAGCCTTGTTTCTTATCCTAATCAACAAAGAGAGATTAGCTAGTTTAATAGGATTGGGAGGACGCCATATTGGACCTAGCTATAAAGCTATAAAAATGATTTGGTCAAGTGTCCCCATCATCTCATTTTATTAGACAGGAGAGTAGTCAGATGTCTACCCTAGAATTCAGGATGAGAGATCCTAAATAGGTGAAAAATAACATAGGTATGATTCCAGAGGTTGAAACCATGGAAAGAAAAAGAATATAGGAAGGTTAATAGGAGGTGAGGGAAATAACTGACATTAATTATGTGCCGACTGTGTTCTGCTGCTTGACACAGGAATAGACAGTTAGGTCAATGAAACTTGATAGAAAGTCTAGAAGTAGACTCCTGCATTTATGGGAATGTAAAATGCAAGAAACATAGCATGTGAGAGAATAGTGATGACAACACTGGGTCTCCATTTAAAAAGTTAGAGCCCGGCTGGGCGCGGTGGCTCAAGCCTGTAATCCCAGCACTTTGGGAGGCTGAGGCGGGTGGATCACAAGGTCAAGAGATCGAGACCATCCTGGTCAGCATGGTGAAACCCCGTCTCTACTAAAAATACAAAAAATTAGCTGAGCATGGGGACGCGTGCCTGTAATCCCAGCTACTCAGGAGGCTGAGGCAGGAGAATTGCCTGAACCCAGGAGGCGGAGGTTGCGGTGAGCCGAGATCGCACCATTGCACTCCAGCCTGGGTAACGAGCGAAGCTCCGTCTCAAAAAAAAAAAGTTAGAGCCCAAGTTACATCTCCAGACAGGTTCCAAATGGAATATGGAGTTTAATATAAAAATAAAATCTTAGCAGAAAAAATGGAATACTTTATCCTTGTGGGTGAAAAAGGTCTCAAAATTCAAAAGCCACGTGTAGAAACTGATGAATTTGATTGTATCAATTTTTTTAACTTTGGAATTTCAAAATTATATCAAAGAAACCTAGATAAAATTTTGTCACACTTATAATAATGTTCAGGGTTCCAAAAAATCAAAATTAAAAGACAACCCAAAAGAAAAAAATGGGCAAAGAAAATGAGCTGGGAATTCATAGGAAAAATACAGATGGCCAATAATCAATGAAAAGAAGCTCAATGTCCCAGTTAACCAGGTGATACAAATGAAATGAACACTAAAATATTTTTTTTTCCTATGTTTTTAAATGATTTAAAAACCGATAACATATGTTATTGGCAAGGGTGTTTGAGATGCTGGTGCTTTCAAATACGAATAGGGTGAATTTGAATTGATGTAGCATTTTTTTGGAGTGAAATAATCTTTCCTTCTAACATAGTAAGTCCATTTCTTGATACTCATCCAGATAAAGGAGCACAGTGGTGAGAATCTGTCCTCATGAGCAAGGTTGTTTGCTTGTTGAATCCTGCTTGTTAACTTACTCCCTGCTGCTGCAACTCATTTAGCCTCTTTTTCAGCTTTGTCTTCTGAAAAGTGGGGATGATAATAGCTCTTACCTAAGACGGCTGTTGTGAGTATTTAAACAGTTACTACATGTAAAGTACTTAGATTAACAATTGTAACATAGTTAACACTTAATGAGAATTATGTTGGTCACAGAAACACAATGGACCTAGAATGTTCACAACAACAGTATTTATAAAGATTAAAAAGAAAGAAGTGACCAAAATGATTACTTTAATGGGGAAAGGTTAAGTAAATATTATTGAAGACCATGTAGGCATTAGAAGAATTAAGGAGACCGGTCATTCTTTAGCTGGACCTTTCTTTATTGAGTTTCTATAATGTGACAAGCCCTATCCTGGCGCTGGTGATACAGTGGTAGAAAGAACAAAAGCA